TTAATATATTGCCGGCTGCCTTGTTTTCTCTTCGGAACACGATCTTTGTTTTTAGAATACGCCGCGCTTTCAGTATATTCGTTCAGGTTGCTCCCATAATGTCTTAATACTGCGTTTTAAACTCATTCATGAAGGTGAATAACACTGATACTGTTATGTTAATAAACGGAAAATTATATTGAAATTGATAGTGAGGTTATTTTATCACGTTAATAGATATTTTGCATTCGACATTTTCACATACATACATAGTTATGAACAATCAATTTTACATTTAAGATTAAAATATAATTTATATTATATAAATGAATAAAAAATATAATTTTAATTATAAAATAAATGTTCCAAATCAAGTGAATAATTACACACAAAACTAAATTGGATCTATACTGCATATTGAATGATAATTGCAAAATATCATAGAAAAATCAATAGAAGTGCTAGAAAGACTAAATATAAGAAAATAAAAATTTATGCGTAGAATTTGGTCGCTTGAAAGCTAAATCTTGATAGATAATTATACTTAAAAATATGCATTGTAAACAGAGTGTAGAAAATGGATTTGAATATTATTTATAAAGATCCTAAATATGGTTCCAAGTCCAAATAGCCTTTTCCGGGCTTTATTAGATTTTAATAATAATAATTAAATTATCAAATATGGACAATACGTCATGAGCGAGAGCATAGAATGTAAGGATGTAACTGCTAAAATATGAGTATAATAAAATATTTACTGACATCATAGAGCTTTCGAGGAGAAAACTAATCTTTGACATATATAGTTCAAACAATAACTTTTCAATATAATTTATCGTTAAATAATACCAACATTTAATTAAGATATAATTTAGTACATTAATAAAAGGTGAACACTGGGTTTCCTTCTAAAATTCTATGTTATTTGTCAGACTAATCACTCAATGTCTTTTAACTTCCCGTAGGGTAAGTTATTGTAATGGGCCGAAAATCGGAATTGAAAATTTTAACATTTCTCGACGTTTTGAAGGTTTCTGAACGTTTTGGCATACCTCAGAAAAAATGGATGTGTGTGTGTTGTGTGTGTGTGTGTGGGTGTGTGTATGTATGTATGGATACAAATTTTCGCCCACGTTTTCGGGCGTACGGATCAACCGATTTGAATGGTTTAAAAAACATTCGATTTCTATTAATGAGGAGAAGAGCTGATTAGTTTTTGGCAAAGACAGGTCCAGCAGTTACGGAGATAAGGAGCAAGAGGCAGAAAAAAGAAATAGAAATCGAGTTTTTGAGAGAACGGAGCATCCGATTTGAATGATCTAAAAAACATTCAATTAGTAATGATTGGGAGAAGGGGTTATTAGTTTTTCGCAAAGGCAGGCCCAGCCATTACGGAGATACAGAGCTAAATGTACAAAAAATGGCAGTTTTTAAGAGAACTAAGCGTCCGATTCAATTGATTCAAAGAACTTTCTGCTTGTCTTAACAAAATAATTGATTTTGGAAAAAAAAAAATTGTACCATTTTTTTTTTTTTTTTTTTTTTTAGTTTTTTGTATATCGAAAATAATTCAGATTTTATTTTTAATTCTGACTATAGTTCTAATATACTTTAAACAAATAATTTCAACTCTGCATTTCAGTATATAATTCTTATAAATATTAGACAATGTTACAATATTTATAATAATCTATTTGAAAACATTCAATATTCCTCGAACATTTCGTTACGGTACGGGAAGTTCCAGCAATTTGCCTTAAGGCACGATGCCACTCACCCCCCACTAGTTATTTAGACAGATTGTAATTTATAAGAAAATAAAAAAAAATTATCGGTAAATAGTTATAGTATCACAGTTCAATACAAAAATGCAAAAATTAAAATTTATGTATAGGGACTGATCTCATATATATCATTAAGTTTGATAAAACCATATATAGAGACAAATTACGTTAACAAAAATAAAGAATCTTTATAAACATTATATAACTTGATATGATTTTTGTATAAAATAAATTTCTAAATTTCAAGCCTTTATTTTACTACATAATTTAAAATTTAATCTAAACTATTAAATAATTAGCAATTTATTATCTCCATATTGTGAGTTTATAAAGGACTCATATTTATGCATAATAAATGAATAATTTAGGTAAAAACTAAGTGTTAGTTTGTGTGATTTATGAAAATATAAGCATATTTGTATCAGATATATTTTTTTTACTTTTTTCATTGGATTTCCGCAACTTCTAGACCCGCCTTAACAAAAAATTTAATCAATTCTTTATTTTGTCTTATAAGAAAAATGTTTTTTTAAATTATTAAAATCTGAGGCTTTGTTCTCTCAAAAAACTGAATTACATTTCGGGACGTATCTTCAAAACGGCTGGACCTGCATTTGCCAAAAACTAATCAGCACACCTTTCCATTAATAGGAATGTTTTTTAAAATCCAAATCGGTTGATCCGTGATCGAAAACGTCGGCGCAAATTTTATCCGCACGTACATACATACATACACACATAAATCAATTCTTTTTAAGATATGCCAAAAATGATCAGAAACCTTTGATACGTAAAGAAAGATATGCAAAATGTTCTGTTTTCGATTTTTTGCGATTACTATAACCAATCTTACGAGAAGTTGAAAAAAGTATATAAAATTGTGCGCTTAAATAATCAGAAGTGCTTAGATCGTCTTTTTATATTCCTACGTTCGAAGACCCGCTAACCATTCATAGAGACTATGACCTCGCATGAATGAATTGAATTTTTGATGAAAGCATTTTTCAGAAGAAGCTGAAGAGAGATCCGCAGTAAAATTTCAAGGCGCTGTACCATATTCCTCTCAGAATTTTCTTCATAATTCCTGAACCGTACTTTCAGTATATCCTGCATTTCCAATTACCTATTAGCATTTCCAGGACATTTTTCAACTTCGACTTTCATCATAATATCTATAACCACATCCGATCCGACGAAGCTGTGAGCAAATCTCACGGCCAGGATAGCCAAACTCACCGTTGGGTTCCGCACTGACATTGATTGATACTCCGTGAGTGATTATTATGCACACGCCGATTTGCTTTTCGAAAGTATCGTTATTAAATCTACATCGGCCCGACGAATCTTTTGTATGCGAGCGTGTTCGCGTTCTTTAGCAATCTTTGTTCTGTTATTGGCGTCATTATAAATAGAATACAGGAACGGATTTGACAGAGATATTCAACAAGTTAAGCCAAACACATTATGATTGTGTGGGAGCACAATATACTCCTAAAACATTTGATGCCATGCTCCAAGATGCTGCATCTCGGTCGACTATCCTATATTTTTTATTCTTGTCCAAATGTTCCATTACCAGCATTTTTTATGCGGAACCTGTAAGTTCTTCTATTTTATAAT